GGAGACGCTGGAGGAGGAGCAGAGGGACGACGAGGCGAGGCGGGAAGGGCAGCCCGCACCGAGGTCATCGGCACCCTGAGCCAAGGCGACGACTGGGAGGGCAAGGCCGTGATGCTCCGACTGCTCCAGCGGCAACAGTCGGCGGAGGCGCGATGGATCACGCACAAGGACAACAAGGCTCCTCGAGGATGAAATGCATGCGATTTTGAACGTTCCGGTATTGTTCGAGGCTTCTGGAGTCGAGGGAGAAACATCAGCGCAAACATGAGCTTTGGGAGTCCGCGCGGATTTCTTGCATCGGTGCTAGACCCCCCTGGCAGCGCCTCTGGCACCGCGCTTGGCGCGCTCCGCGCGCCGTGGACAGGAGTTTGGCGCCGCTCCCAGAGATCCGCGCGGACCTCCGACTTTAGATGTTTACGTGGCTTAGTGCTCTTCTGTAGAGGCTTCCGAAGGGCTTCGGAGGCCTCCGGGAGCCTGGGGGGAGACCTTCCACCTGCTTCCCCTTATTCTCGGTAGTCGGCTGATCTTTCTTCCTCTCCTTTCCTCCCCTCCCCACCCTGATACTTTATGATCGTCGTGATCTTGATCATGCGTCTCCTCTTTCGCCTCCTCTTGACATGCGGACTTGGGAAGACGAAGGCAACGACCATGGAGAACGAGGGGGAGGACAGTGTCCTTCCCCCTTGCTCTCCAGAATCATCACCTCTGTCTTCCTTAATTCGCATGCTTTTGCTCGGTGGTGCGACGTGGCAAGCTTGGGTTTGCCTATCCACTATCCAGTGACCGGTATGAGCACTTCCACACGTGCCACACCTCGTGGGTGATCCCGTGGTTGCTGCGCTTCTGGCGTGCCATGGGGGGCAGCAGAGGCGGTGCGTGCTGGACCGCGGAGGCATCTTTGCCATGCGGCCAGGGCAGCCCGTGGGCACTGGGACGCCGCCAGACCGGGCCCGCGCTGTCTGTGCCGCAGTCACGTCGAGCGTTCTGCACTCGAGCTGGCCATGCTGTCCGTGGCCGTCGCCTTCGGCGCAGCCTCCTCCTCCTCCTCCTCCTCATCCATCTTCCGCCTCCTCCTCCTCCTCCTCCTCCTCCATCCTCCTCCTCCTACTCCTCCTCCTCCTCCTCCTCCTCCTCCTCCTCCTCCTCCTCCATCCTCCTCCTCCTACTCCTCCTCCTCCTCCTCCTCCTCCTCCTCCTCCTCCTCCTTCCTCCTCCTCCTCCTCCTCCTCCTCCATCCTCCTCCTCCTACTCCTCCTCCTCCTCCTCCTCCTCCTCCTCCTCCTCCTCCTTCCCCTCGTCCCCCGCCTCCTCCTCCTCCTCCTCCGCTGCTTCCGTCGTTTGGAGTGGCGCTCTCGCTCCAGCGCGCGCCCGATTGACGTGCCCGGTTCCCCGAAGAAGGCGTTGCCACGAGTCTCCTTTGGCCCTTCGTCGCCTCTCCTGGCTTCTGCTGCTGCCGCCCTCCTCCAGTGCACGGAGAGCCCCCCCTTCCGATTTTGCACAGCAAGCGATGGGTCGGGTTGTGCGACTGCCCTTCGGGGGTCGAGGTCTTCTAGGGCACCCTACCGGGCGGATGGAAACGTTGTTCGGCGCAGTGGGACGGGATGAGGGGGACAGGTGCAGTCAAGACGCTGAAATAAGGATCGCGTTGGGTTCAGGAGGGTTCGTGATTCCCCAAATCCTTTCATGGTTCTTCCTCTATCTGCCCAAGAAAGGTCTCGCTCATTCTCAGTAGCGTTCCTTATATTAGGTAGCATCGAAAAGAAAAGCATCCAGGGAGGGTTGTCCGGGGGTGTTCTCTGGGTTGGGGTTGTCCGGCTCCCTCGCGGGGTTGTCCATGCAACGGGTTGTCCGTGCCGTTCCGGTTTGCCAGCGCACGCACATGCCATAATCATCAATATCATCAGAATCATGGCGGAGCCAGTCAAACCCAGCTGGAAAGGGCGCTTCTCTCCTCCTTCCCCTCTTGTTCGTTCCTCTTCCCTCGCGTCCACCCGCCCCCGCTCGCACATCCTCATTGGTCGTTGTTCTCCACGAAGCGTGGTTGGCTGAAATCCTTGCAGTTGTAGAAGTTAGTTCCATCTGTGGGACCAGCGCACAGAGACATGCTCAAAATGAGGACATTGTCTTGCCACTTTCGCTTGAGACATCCTCGTAACGCTGGGCTCACGCATGCCCAGATCTGAGGTGTTCCGGCCGGTTTCGCCTGCGATATCTTTGTAAGTCTGGGCTCGGAGATGCCGCCCACGAGGTTGTCCGTTCCCGCAATCTTGGTCTTAGAGATGCCCTGACCTCAGGTGGTCCGAGAGAAGAGAGCCACCGGCGACCCCCAATACAAGGACACGGCCTTCCCCCCGCACGTCGGATTCTCGAGGGGATTGTCCGGGGGTCGTCAACCGGGTTGTCCGGGGGGTTGTCCGGGGGTTGTCCAGGCGCAATCCTACCCAAGCCCTCTCTTGGGCCTCCTCATTCTTCAACCTTCTGTCTTCACATTCCTCAGCGTGCGTCCACTTTCCGCTGCGACATCCTCGCAATTCTGAGTTCGGGGATTGCATGTCCTGACCTGAGGTTGTCCAGCCAGTTTCGCCTGAGACATCCTCGAAACTATGGCTTCTGAGATGCTGCGCGCGAGGTTGTCCAGCCAGTTCTGCCTGAGACAGCCTCGGAACTCTGTGCACAAAGATGCCCTAACCCAAGGATGAGCAGACACAGGACTCCCATGGAATCGCGGGGGAGGTGCCGAATGGTGCTGTCGTTGGAGCGCCGGCCATATCCCTGAACGGGAGTGGTGCTGTCGCCTGAGCGGTGACTACACTCTCGATAGGGAAGCGAGCTGTCGCCCGAGCACTGGGTGTTGCTCTCGCTTGAGCGCCAGCCACACCCCTGATTGAAGAAGGTGCTCTCTCCAGTGTGCCAGCCACATTCCTGGTAGGGAACGGTGCTCTCGCTCAAGCGTTGGCCACGCTTACATGCTAGGGCACATGTCGTCTCCATCTCGGAGAGGTTGTCTGGGTTGTCCGGGGAGTTGTCCAGGATTTGTTTGGTACATTTTAATTGCTCCGTACAGCATAGTAGTCGTAGCCTGACTGTAACGTGTCAGATGTGGCCCTTGCGCGCGTTGCTTGCCTCTCCTCTCCTCCCCCTCACTCTCAACTCGTCTGTTTTTTTGCACGGAGAGGGGATGCCTCGGGCGGGAGCGAGAAACAGGCGCGCACCAGCGCGCCCCCCGTGACCGATCATCAAGTGAGAAGACCGCCTGCCCCGCTGGTCTCTGTGCTTCGCGGTCACACCGAGATCTTCGGTGGAGGGGGATTGCGCCTTTAGGATTCAGCGGAGCGGATCAGGTCCGTTCCATTCTGTTGTGTTTATTCTTGCTACTTCTTTCGTTGCGTCCCTCTCCCCGCGATTTAGGCCGCGGCCCGCTGCCTTGCTGTGGTGGTTCGCGGCGCCCGATGACCGCGACGACTTGCAGCGTTGAGTAGCCGCGCGATTTCGATAACGTGCGGCAGCAAGATGTGTGTTGCCAGTTGCTCCCAAACGGGCCCGAGTAGGTGGGGTTGGAGGTCGGAGGATCGTGCCGCACCGCCGATGCATCGGCGATGCGGCCCGACGTAGAGCCCGATTTTCTCCACGCCGATGGCGCCGATACACCGCCGGCGTCGCCATCACACCGCGAATGCATGGGTGGCACGGTCCTCCAACCCCATGCGCTCGGACCCTCACTCGAACCCTACAGTCGGGGCCCTGAAGAAGGAACCCTTTTTGTTCGGGAGGGGCTCCGTGTTCTTTAGTTGTTTTACAGTGATTCTCAGGTTTTCAGGAGGTTTTCCATGGACAATCGAAGTTTAACTTATGGAGAAAAGGGGCCTCGTTCCTTATTTTGGGTTCCTTAGGTCAACGCCCCGACTGTACTCGAACCCTATCTGGGAGGACTGAATTGGGGTACGCCGACGTCGGGTGCACGGCACGGACAGCAGTGAGCCGGGCGCCTCGCGGGTGGGGAAGGGGCTGCCCGCGAGCGTTCGCGCGACGGGTCATGCGAGCCACTTGCCGATGATGATGATGATGATGATGATGATGATGATGATGATGATGATGATGATGATGATGATGATGATGATGATGATGATGTTTTCAGCAGCAGCAGCCGCTGGTGGCTCATGCGGTTGGTGGAGAGGGCGCCTGCCTGCTCTCCGCCCTTGCTGTGCGTCATCATCAGACATGCCGTCGCTCCGACGTGTAAGGGAAAATATCAGAAGATGATGTTTTCGTCGTGAGCGCTAGGCCTGGGCCTTTGGCGTGTCTTTGGTGGCTCTCTGGGACTCTGCCTACCCCAGAAGTGCCCTTGGTGGCATAGCGGGTTGAGCCTAAATGCAGCATTACGGACTAGAGAAGCGTTAACCCGAAAATCGCTGTGAAAATGTCCTCTGTCACTACATTTTGCTTTCTGCGTTACACTCTGCTTGCGATGATTCTCACAACGGGACTGGGGCGGACAAATCGTGCCCCCCCAAGAGCTTGAGAAAGAAAGAGAATAACCACCTACCTACCCCAACCTACCTCCTTCACGGGATCAAAGAGATCATGTTCTTCACAATGATCTGAAATCAGGGCCTTCAGTCTCTGAGCTAGATGACGATCCCCTAATTTCCATGAGGCTCTGAGCGTGATTCCCGTGAGAGCGGACCACTTCCTGTTCAAGCGGTCCAGAATCCCTGGGACATTAGCTGCAAACCATTGGCTAGAGAAGGGGAGCACTAGATACATGCTCCCATCCTCCCTCTCCTTCGGAAGAGGAGGAGCTGTGGGTTTCACATGTTTTACTGCATTTACTATCGACGCACTGGTGCCCGACGATTCCAATCGCCTGGCAAAGACAGCTATGCTATCGCGGGCCAGTGAGAGAGAACTAGAAAGCCGGTAATACCTCCTGGCCATTGCGATGGGCCACGCCTTGTGTACAGAAGGGGCGTGGGAGCTATCAGCACCCAGCGGGGTCCAGATGCTCGTTTCCTTCTCGTGCACACGATAGCTGTAAAAAGTATTATGATATTGGCGAAACAAGTGCACGTCTAAGAAATTCACTTCAGCTTTGCTCACACTTTCAAGCACTAAGATAAATGGGCGCGCCTTCGGTAGAAAGACTGGTGATTCTGCAAGGGCCCGTCGAAGAAGACAACGATGTCATCCTTGAAACGAAGATAACATTGTACTCCCACTGATGCCATATAGCCTGTATCGCTAATCCAATCTTTTTCTGCCAAACGGTAAAACGCACTATCTGACACCTCCCCGCTGCCGATCATTCCCATACCACTTCCAGATATTGCCTTCCAAACTCTATCCTCCTCGAGCCCTGGGATCTCGACGAACTGGTTGTCGAGGATGAAGCGCAGGAGAAGGAGGAAGCGCTGCTTGTCAGTGCCGTCGAGAAACTTACTGCTCTGGTCCAACAATACACCATGAGTTCCGCTCATAAGAATAATCTTTTATATCGATTTTTAATGCTGTGGCCAATGTAGAGAAAGATGCAGCACTGATAATGCGGATGGAGTGGTTGGAATCTGTAAGTAAATGGGGAAGATGTTGAAGATGGCGCTGGAGCGTGCTCGAAATAAACTTCATTGCAGGTGCAGAAACACTATTCTTCTGCATCGTGGGGAGAAGACGAATGGAACAGCTGCTTTTTTTTTTTTGAGTTTTCGCGGTAGCTCCAACTTTGTACCGCGTGCTCTCTGGATTGCTCGTTCTGCTGCACAGCGCTCGGCGAAGACCCGCATCGATGTCATCCTCTCCCATGCTGGCTGCTTGCTTGCACGCATCAGCGTACTCGGCGCGAATATCTTGAGCATGGACAGATCTGTCGACAGTTATCTCGACATAACGCGATGCGACCCTCTCTCTGATATGCGCAGTAACCAAGCGCAGCTTCTGCACCACAGCAAAACCGCCGTCCTTGTCGGTAGGGATCGCCCCCCACGATCCGTACTTGAGACTCCTGATCGCGTCCCGGATGACCTGTGGGAGGGGTCTTGCAGGACCCAAGCGCGACCTCGATTTCGCACACTCGTTCCAGACACTCCCACGGACATCGGTGATGTACGAGAGGTATGGTTCGGGAATCTCGTGTGGATAATTTGGGGTCCAAGCCCTGTGTTCATGCAAGTGCCGCCACCGTGTCAAAAGACCCTCGCCTCCTGAAAAGTGCTGGCGCCATGCAATTTTGTTCGCAACATTGATCAAACCGTTGCTGACCTGCTGTAGCGATGGCTTACGCTTGAATGTGAAAACGTGCTTCTTGTGAGAACGCAAAAGAAATTCCACTGACCAGTCTAGCTGTCCTGCTTTGGGAACAACTGCGCGCTGCCTCAGCGGATCGTACAAGTACACACCTGTCAGGCCTTTACCACACATGAGGAGTTTCCCCATTTGGTTTGACGACAACCCACGTGTCTTTGCCAAAAATATCTCTGTCATGCAATTGCGATCCGATGACCGCATTACTCGAACCCTATTTGGGAGGACTGGATTGGGGCACGCTGATGTCGGGTGCACGGCACGGACAGCGGTTCGCCGGGGGCGCCTCGCAGGTGGGGGGACGGGGCTGCCGCCCGCGAACCCTATTTGGGAGGACTGGATTGGGGCACGCTGATGTCGGGTGCACGGCACGGACAGCGGTTCGCCGGGGGCGCCTCGCAGGTGGGGGGACGGGGCTGCCGCCCGCGAGCGTTCGCGCGACGAGTCTGCGAGCCACTTGCCCAGGTCGCAGGCGTGCTCTCGTGGTCAGCACCGTCGCTGCTGACAGATCGGTGCGATTTACCAGCCTCGAACGTATCCCTATCCCTAAGACTGACACGCCAGAAGGCGATGACAATCTTAGGGATGCTCCCTCAGAAAGTAGGAGAATCCCTAAGATTGGCATCGTGATGAGGAGGTGCCCAGCATAGGGATAGGGATACGTTTCAGTCTGGTAAACGAGCGACATGGGCACGGAACAATGGGCAACATGTCCTGCCCATTTGGACCAGGGCTCGTTGTCGGTGCCACCGCGGGCGTTGTCCACTTGGCACGGGAGGCCGCCCGCCCACCAGCGGCCGCTGCCCGCGTTGGGCAATCTGTGCTGCTGGGCGTCGTGCCCATGGTTGTCCGTACCCATGTCGGGCGTACAGTCGGGGCCCTGAAGAAGGAACCCTTTTGGTTGGGGAGGGGCTCCGCGTTCCTTAAGTGTTTCACAGCTTGCCTCATGTTTTCCTTATGTTTTCGATCGGAAATCGAAGTTTAACAGAAGGAAAAAAGGGGCCTCGTTCCTTATTTAGGGTTCCTTAGGTCAACGCCCCGACTGTACACGCTGGACAGACCTCTTCTCCCTTCCCGCCCCCTCGTTTTGGGTCTCCCCGGTAGGGTCGGAGCAGATGGAGCTGGAGGATCGCGCCGCATCGCCGATGCATCGGCAGTGCGGCGCGCTGTGGGGCCCGATGCTCTCCACGCCGCTGTGGCCGATGCATCGCCGACGTCGCCGGGGCATGGACGATGCCTCGGCGATGCATCACCGCTGCATCGCCCACACGCTGCAGACCTCTGGCCCCAGCTACTCGGACTTTATCTGGTAGGTCTCTGCTCGCGCTGTCCCCGCCCCGAGGCCCTGAGCTCGGCAAGCGTCAGGGCCGGCATGGCCGTGGCGGACCCCGGCTGGCCGAAGAGGATGCGGGCCCCCTCCGCCATAGACTTCGTCGAGAGCCTGTGCGACGGGCTGGCGCAGGATCCGCGCGGCGCACTTTAGATGATGTAGAGCACGCTGGGGAAGTTCCTTTTGGGGCAAGCAAGCGTTCTCAAGATCGGTGTTATTTTCCGTTGTGAGTTCAGTTGTCTTTCCGCTTTGGGTTTCTCGTCGCGCCGTCTCTCTCTATCGGCGTGCTCCCCAATTGTCGATTCTGTTTTGGGCAGCCGTTTGTTCTCCTTTTCGGTTGACGGAAAGACCGAAAAGTAAAACATGGAGAACGCCCCAAGCGTTTCTAACATCAACCAAGGCCGCGCACACCGGGAGGTGATCGAGGAGCTTCCTCCAATTATTCTGCTGCTGTGTTCGATGGTTCGTTGTCTCTGGCCACGGTCTCTCGGAGCTCTCTGGCCCAAGCCCAGCCCCCCCCCACCCCCCCCAAAAGCGGCACCGACGGGCCCGAAGAGACCCTCAGACGCGTCCAGGATTGTCCAAGAAGGTTCCCCTCCTCGTGGCCCTCCTCGTGCATGGGGCGAGGGCACGCGTGCCGCTGGGTTGCCAAGCTCTCGGGCTTCCGGGGTCGCCCTCGCGGCCACAGCTGGGCGCGGCTCGAAGCACCCGCGTGGCCGCGGCTGGCTGGGGATCGGGGGAGGGGGAGGAGGAGGAGAAGGAGGAGGAGGAGGAGGAGGAGGAGGAGCAGGAGGAGGAGGAGGAGGAGGAGGAGGAGGAGAGAGGAGGAGGAGGAGGAGGATGGTGGAGGAGCAGGTGAGGAGGAGGAGGAGGAGGAGGGGAGGAGGAGGAGCAGAGGGAGGAGGAGCAGGAGCAGGAGGAGGAGGAGGGAGGAGCAGGAGGAGGAGGAGGAGGAGGAGGAGGAGGAGGAGGAGGAGGAGGAGGAGGAGGAGGAGGAGGAGGACTCTCAGGAGGCAGGGGGGGTTCAGCAGGGGCCGGAGGCCTCTTGGAAGGCCGCCTGGAGGGCCGGAGGGCTCCCGAGAGCTGCCCCCCCTGCTTTTGCAGAGGACGGCGCGCTGGCCGCCACTCTCCGGGCCCAGATCTCCCAGCTGCGTCCAGCTGCGGCGACGAAAACCTCCAGAGACGCCCACATATTTCAAAATGGAGACGACGAAGGCGACGACGACGAAGGCGACGACGACGACGACGAAGACGACAGCGTTGGAGATGTTGGATAGGGGGCCGCGAGCGCTGCGAGTCCAACGGAGCGCCCGCGGCGGCGGGCACGGACGGCGGCCGCCGCGCCCGCGCGTGCGCGGCCTCCTAGCCGCTCCCCCCCGCATGCCTCGCCTCCACCGTCGGCTCGGCGCTTGCGCTCGCGGCCTCCCGCTGGGCGCCTCGCACCTTGCCCTCGCCGCCTCGCGAGTGCGGCCCCCCACGCGCTCGCAGGCGCCTCCGCAGCCTCCTCGTCCTCGTCCGCGCCCTCGGACCTCGCCACTCGGCCGTACTCGACGAGCCCGTCGGCGCTCATGCCGGTTGCGGCCCTGGTGCACCAGCGCCTCCTGGAGCCCTGCACGTTGCGCCTGCTGCTCAGCGCCCTCCTGCGTTCCTGTGCCACCTTCCTCCTCTGCCTGAGCCGGCGCGAGCCGCCCGGCACCCTCGCCCGACAAGGGCACCTCCAGCTCCGCGAAGCCCTCGGATAGGGCCCTCGGCGTCCTCCTGCGCCTGCAGCAGCTCCTCCTCCTCCTCCTCCTCCTCCTCCTCCTCCTCCTCCTCCTCCTCCTCCTCCCCCTCCTCCTCCTCCTCCTCCTCCTCCTCCTCCTCCTCCTCCTCCTCCTCCTCTGCTCCTCCTCCTGCTCCTCCTCCTCCTCCTCCTCCGTGGACGTGACGACCCGTCGCGCCGTCAGCTGCGCCAGCGCGCGTGGCCTCCAGCTGCTGCCGGCCCTCTCTCCTCCTCGGTGCCCCAGGCCGCCGCGTCTCGGTGAAGGCGCCCGCGTGCCGCAACCTTTCCTCCCTCTTCTCCTCAGGTCCTCGGCGTTCTTGCAGTCCGCCTCCGACTGGTGGCCCTTGACCTTCACAAACTAGACGCCCTCCATGTCGCCGAACTCGGTCCACCACCTTTGCCACATCTTCTCGCGGTCGCTCCCGAAGCCCGGCGCCCTCCTGTTCGTGTCGCAGTCGATCCGAGCCCTGGCAGTCTGAGAACACCGTCGCTGAGGCCGCGCAGCACCTCGACGGCATGCGGAACGCCTAGTCCTCGCCGCCCCGCGCAATCTGCATTGGCACTCACCGCAGCGGCACCGTGCCGTACCACGCTCCCACCAGCCTGCCCCTGTGACTCATCATCACCACCGGCCAGCCCGCGCGCCGGAGGTCGTCGTCCTCCACGCTGGCCGCCGACCCTTCCACGGAGGTGTCTCCCGTGACGGCGCCAAGCGGCGGCCTCATGCATGCGCGCCCGACCTCGCGCTCTGGCCTCTCGAGCTCCTGGAACCACCCCTGGGCCATCTCTGGGAAGAGGCCGTGCACGAACCTCTCGCCTGCCTCTTCTCCCCCCTCGCTCCTCGCGCGTCGCGCCGCCTCCGGCACCTCAGGTGGGCAGAGGTCCCACGTGGCAGGCCCGTTGGCGTCGCACTCGAAGTGCCTGTGCCGCAACGTGCCTCGGGCCGCCCTGCACCTCCTGCGCCTGTCGGGCGCCGCGTAGCCCCCATCGTAGAGCTTCGCCTGCGTCCATTGGGACCCTCCTACGCAGCACCTCGGCGCCCTCTTGTGCGCCAGGCCCCATTTCTCCTCGTTCTGCGCCGCCTGCAGCTTCTCGACGTGCCTCCAGTGGGCTGGGCTGGGCAAGGCTCTCGCGTCGGCAGTCCACTGCGCCGTCCTGGCCACCACGTTGCCGACGACGGCAGGTCCCAGCCACGTCATGTCCAGCTCCTCGCCCGTGGGCGCCACCATCTCGAAGGCCGGCCTCGTCTTGACG